AAAAGGAGACTTTAGGACTATTTATTAATTAATGAGATAAAGTTGAGGAGAAAGGAATAATTATAAATATTCTTTCATAAAATATAGATTGATGACCTAACGAAGTTTTTCATTAAATAGTAACATTTGTTTTTATTAATATCTGGACTTTTATTTTTTTCAGTTATACTGTTTTTTCTACTCATTTCCAAATTCATTGTAGTCATGAGAGAAGCCATAAATACTGATAAAGTCAGATTCTGCTGTCTACTTTCACGTGAATCACGCTGTGATTGTGGATTTTTGAAAAAGCATAGTTGGAACGATTTTTTATACAATAGTATAATATCGATACTTGTTGATGTTAGCAAAGTTGATAATTAGTAAAAAAAATGAAACTAGTTTTTCTTTGTAAGGATCAAAGAAATTTTGTAGAATACTTACATTTACAATGGATAGTATGGTTGTATTTTGCATTATCCTTTAGCTATTAAAGTTATAAATAATTAACTAAGCTTATGTGAACTTTAGAATCTCACATGTAGTATGTGAATGATGTTTTTGTCAAAAACATTTTGTGTCTTTCTTTCTGTTCATTTGGAAGAGTAAGGAAAGATTATCTTAAGACCCAGCCTTGGCACTTTGCAAATCTCTTCAGTTTATATGCTAGTGCTTCAAAGGCTTGTGAAAAATTCTTCTAAAAGGACAAAAAGACGAGACCCAGTCAGTTAACTCCTCAGCTAAGATAAACTTTACAAGCCAATCTCTCTCTAAAGAAAAAAAAGCTTTATAAAATTTACAGAACAATCCTCGCACTCTGAACATTTAACTGCAGGGAAAAGCATGGAGAATAACAATAATCAGCCACGTTTTTTATGTATGATTCATACATACTATTTGAACCATCAGAAGATGGATCAATAAATGTAGTATGCATTTACCCAAACAGATTGAGGAAAAAGTTGACATATGCAAAATGTAAAAATGATCAAAGCGTCCACTGCCATTGAAAAATATTATTCTCAAGTAAATTTATCAATTTAATTTCATGTTGCCTGAATTTTTCTAGTAAAATTTAAGTGAAAGGTTCTCATTTACAAAACAAATAATTTCTACATCTTTTAAAAGAATATTTATTATCAATAAACCAGTGGGGTACTAGAGCTAGTTTGTACCAGCTGATGGAGCTGATGGTACATATTTTCCAACTCTGTATTCATTAATGTCGCATTAGTAGCTTCAAATCAAGTGTGGTGGGAATATTTACAAAACAGAAATAAGAAATTACTACAAATCACAGCTCCACTCCCCATCCACCCTGCCCCAGAGAGCTGATTTACCACTAATCCCCCAAATATAAACATATAATGAAAGGAAATAAGAAATTTGCTTGGAGTCAAAATCCAACCTTCCAATTAGGGAAACATTTTAGAGGTTTTTTTCAGAAAAGATTATAAAAGATCAATGTGGATCTTATCAAAATTCACTATGCTTTATTAAAATATTATCAAAGTATATTGAAGTTCATCAGAAAGAATGAATAGACATCTGTTGGCTGTTAAAACACTATGAGACTCCAATAATTAAAATAGTGTAGTACTGGTTCAAGGATAAAAAAAATTGGATGGAACAAAATACATTTACCAAGAAAAGACCCTATCCTATACTACGACAATATAGAGAGAGAGGAAAAAATTTATTTAATATTTGCTGTGAGAATAACTGGTTGGCATTTTGTAAATTAAAAAGAAAATCATTTGTGGCCCTTACCTCACATTGTGTCAGTAAGTCTCAAAACAAAATAAAGTTAAAAATATAACTATAGGGGCTGGCCCCACGGCTGAGTGGTTAAGTTCACTCGCTCAGCTTCTGCAGCCCAGGGTCTCACCAGTTTGGATCCTGGGTGCTGACATGGCACCTCTCATCAGGCCATGCTGGAGCGGCATCCCACATAGCGCAACCAGAGGGACCTACAACTAGAATATACAGCTATGTATTGGGGGGCTTTGGGGAGGAGGAGGAGGAGGGGGAGGAGGAAGAGAAGGAGAAGAAGAAAAGATTGGCAACAGATGTTAGGTCACTTGCCAATATTTAAAAATAAAAAATTAAAAAAATATATATATATAACTACAGAAAAAGCAAAAGGAGATAGAATGTTTATCAACTGTCTCTCAAACATCTACAAATGAAATTTCTGTTTCTCTCCCTTCAAACTTCTGTTTCCAGGAAGTTGAAAAGTCTGTTGCTCTCATTCTAATAATTCGAACAAGCCAGATAGACTAAAAAATCATAGGTCTTTAAAAAAATCCCACCAGATTGCTGAGGCTGCAAAGAAACCTAAGTAATTAAATTCCAGAAAACGATGAACTCTTCCTAGGAAAGATGAACAGCTGCTTTCATCCCTGGCAGGATGGTAAATGTGGAGAGGACAGGGGAGGGAGGAGAAAGCAGCCGAAATTTTATCAGCAACATCGTGGGCTAGTGTGACGGATTAGAATTCCCACGTGCCCCGACCACCGAACCACAAAGGCAGCAACTACCATCGAGCACCAGGACTCCATTACAAGTTCTTTACAATATCATTTATCTCAATAGCCTTATGAGTGTATTACTGCTACCTATATACAATTTTTATTCCTCTTTTACAACAAAACTAAGGTGAAGAGGTTATCAGCCCAAAATCATGTAAGTAGTGGAGTCAGGATTTATGCTCAGGTGGTGTGACTCCATAGCTTTCAGTCTCAGCAACGATGGAATTCGGCTTCCCAGTAAATATTTAGGCAAAGTTTGTTCATCAGTATGGCCTGATGAAGTTATTTACAGACTGAATGAACCCAAATTATCAAGCGCTTTTTCCACTTTCTCTACAAGGAAGCAAATTCAATACACATAATTTGAAATTTAAGAACATTGAAAAATTAGGAAAATTATTTTATAAAACCAGAAGCTTTCTATGGGTGCAGGTGCTAGGGTTTTCTGCTCCAAAATTCTGATGCTTAAAATGTTGCATATTTGTTTCAGGTTTAACAATTAATCTCTGCTCGACTAGGATCCAAGAATTAATTTGCATGCTAATTCAAATTCTGTCCATAATATGTATAATTCTCCCTTTCCTCATTGTAGAGACCTATGCCTGGTATCTGTAAGGGATGGTGCAGATAAGTGATATTTTCTATTATTTGCAAACGTGTTGGTACACTTCCGAGAACCAACTCCTAGTGAAATGAAGTTATCAGATGTTTTGCAGAAAAATTTGGACACTTGGGATTTTTATAAATTGTTTTCTGAATCTGCTTTATCATTTAAAATATAGGATTTATAGTGTGTCACCCACCACCTAAACATCCCCAAGTCTCATGTTGTTTGAATAATAACTATAATGTGAATATTTTGCCTCTTCAGTTATTTTAATCAATTTCCCAGACACCTGTAGCAATAAAGTCCTTCTCAGAGTTAGCAATGAGCTTGTAAAGGATTATAAAGGATCAGAATTTTTCCATATTTGATGCTTCCCCAAAATTTTATTTCTGAGAGTACTTTTTCCTAGGGGTCCCGAAACAGAAGGAAGAAAGGATGCTAGCAGAGGGATCCTGATGGGGCAGGAACAGGCCCTTTTAGAGGAGTTCCCTGCCTGCCAGGAATCTGAGCAAAGGCAGTGACGAGAGTGGGTGGTAAGAAATGTTGGTTAGGGACCTGCTTTACGCAGTTCTTAAAAAGTACTATAAAATAAGAAATGTTGAACAATGCAGTGATAAGAATCACTTTTACATCACCCCAAATCACTTCTCCTGAAATCTTCATCTCCTTGATACTAATATCCAACATTTAAATAGTGTTTTAATACTTTACAAAGTACTTTCACATAATAGCCAAACTTTAATCTTGAAATTCATCCTTCTCTTGCCATCATTGGCTTTCCTAAGGCTCTGGTCTCATCTATTTCCAATGTTGATTCTCTCGTTTCCATTTTCCAGTCATTCTTCTTTGGCCATCTGTTTTTCCCTTTTTTGCAGTTTTAATTATTGACAATGATTTCTGAGTCTTCCCTGAGCTCTGATGTCATGTAATTGGCACAGAGTACACAGTTAAATAATTCTTGAAAAATGAATCAAATCGTCTGATAGAAACTTCCACTTGGAGGTCACAAGATCACTTCAAAGCCTGACACCAACTTAGGGTGTTGCCCTTACAATACGTCTCTTTCCTGACACGTCTGTTAATCATAAGGAGAACTAACATTTATTGAGTGATTATCATGCGTCAGCACTTTCCAGTATATTACCTATCTTTTACAACAATCCCATGAAATAGATGATTTAATAAAGAAACAGGCCCCAAAACACTGAGCAAGTGAAGGAATGGAGATGAGCCCAGGTTGTCTAACTCAAACCAGTGTCCCTCACATCACACCTCAGGCCCGTCAGCTTTAAGTGCCCTGCTAAGTCACTTAAACTCTCTCAATGCTGGCGTTTCCATCTGTCAAGTAGAGGCCCAAATGAGCCAGAAAAGAGAGAACGGAAATTGATGGGTAATTAGAGCAGAGCAAAAATGACTACAAGCTCAGTAAAATCAAAGATAAGAGATTTATAACTAAAAATATAAAACAGAGATTTTTGAAACTAAAGTCTTGATTTATCTCATTTGTTTGAAGCAAGTTCTGAAATAAGTACAAATGTTAACTTTTCCTGATTTTCTTTGGAATCTGAGTTTTCAGGACATTTTCTCAGATTGTACGTAAAAGAATGTAAGAGACTTGGGGCTGGCCCCGTGGCCGAGTGGTTAAGTTCGCGCGCTCCGCAGCAGGTGGCCCAGTGTTTCGTTAGTTCAAATCCTGGGCGCGGACATGGCACTGCTCATCAGACCACGCTGGAGCGGCGTCCCACATGCCACAACTAGAAGAACCCATAACGAAGAATACACAACTATGTACCGGGGGGCTTTGCGGAGAAAAAGGAAGAAATAAAATCTTTAAAAAAAAAAAAAAAGAATGTAAGAGACTTAAAGAAAGAAGCAACAGTCGATTCACACATTTCACTAAAAAATTTATTTTTGGAGCCCATAAATGGGCAAATTCCAAAACAGTAGCAATACAGAGTATTTAAGAACATTTTAATATTTCTTGCTACTCAACAGTCCACCTTTATTTTGCTTTCTATAAGCAAATACATTGGATTAAAGCAACAATACTCTTAACCCCAAGTTCAATGCCTGAGTACTTTCGATATCTATTTTGAGCACATAAAAAAGCAGAAGCAATTAATTTTCTTGAGCATTTTATTTCCATTCAGAGCTTAGCAATTACTTTAGCTTCACATTATTCTGTCACAAACGATAACCAAATGGCCTACCTAAGTAGCTAAAATCATAAACCTATTCTAAGCCAAGTCAATGATATGTATAAAGTTAATATAAAACAACAACTATATTGGTACACATTTGTTTTGGGCCCTACTAGAAATATGACAAAATAACAAGCTTTATTAAAGAATGAGGTCCTTAGGCAGAGGGAGAAGAGGAGTCATATCAAAAATTATTAGGAAAACTGTAGGTATAGAGAAATTGGCCTACGATTTTAACCAAACAGAAGGAGGAAAGGGGCATAGATCATCAGGGTTGATGACAGTTCAAGCAAATACATTTAGCGCTCCCTCACAAACCTGTGCAGTGCCTCAAGAGCTCAGCCTCAGGCTCCCCAGGCCTTCTGTTATTCTCCCACTAGGTTTCTTTATATGAGACATAAACCTACATTTATGGTAACAACAGAGTATTATACTGCTATTTAATCTGACAGCAAACAACAGAAAAAATTGTGAAGGCCAGACTGACTTCAGGCCATCTCAATACCCCTGAAAATAGGGGCAAAAAACGAACTGTTAAGCGATAGTATTCAAAGAGCACTGTATTATCTAACACAATTTAGAAAACAAGTAAAATTCAGTCATCTGCAATGGAAAAAGCCATAGTACTTGAAAATTAGGAATGTTTTGATGGTGATTTTTTACTGAAGTGGTACTCCAAGCCATTAAGTTGGAACAAATTCCAAACCCACACTTACTTGCATCACCTCAGTTTAATAATCCAATAAATGACAAAAAAGACAAACAATGAAAATAGCATTAAATAGCACAGCAGTTTTGTTTGGCTCCCTCTGGATAAAGTCTTCAGTTTTCCCATAGTTTTACCTAGAAATCCAGTTGTAGAATCAAACTCTGAATCCTATGAGAAGAAAAAGATAAAATGTAATAGATTTGAATATTCTACATATGCATATTTAAGTAACGGAATATATTGTTATTAGAATATATTTTTAATGGCATTTTTAGTATTTAATCAAATCAGGAGGCTGTTTATAATTTGGGTAATCAGCCTGATTACTCCATGCAAAACAGAGTAATTCTCTCAATGAATAAAAAGCTCTTTCATTATCCAATAAACATTTCTTTCAGCCCCACAGTAACTCAAAATCCCAAACTATTTAAGTCTTATTCCAATTATGTGGATTAAAGACATTAGCAAAAAAGGTAAGAAATCTGTCTACTATCATACAGGTTTTTTCCCACTTTTTCTGGGGGCATGGCTCTCCAAGGTCAAATGGTTGGTTGCTTCCCAGTACAGTAATTCATCCAAAATTTAATATGGGTAGCAGTACTTTTACTTTCCAGATGTTTTTATTTAGACAGCTGACTTTGAAGTACAATCATGCGCTGCATAATGTTGTTTTGGTCAATGACTGACCAGATGTGACCGTGGTCCCATGGGATTAGTACCATAGAGCCTGGGTGTGTAGCAGGATAGACCATCTAGGTTTGTGGAAGTGCACTCTATGATGTTCACACAGCTACCAAATTGCCTAACAACGTGCATGTCTCAGAACCTATCTGTTGTTAAGCAACACATGACTATATATAGTCTATTAAAACTTAAAAGAATACGATATAGAGGTGGTAAAGTGTGGCAAAGACTACAAATATGGACTGGGAAAAACTACCAAACTAAAATACAGTGGGAAAAGTCCTTAAGATGAGAGGACTTGGTACGGATTAGAAATACTGCACTTTCATAGAAATCTCAATATCCTGAGATGTACAGGCCCCAGGATAGCGACAGCCTCTGTATAGCTCAGGCTCAGTGTGGCTCAAAGACTTAAGATCTATCGTTCTTCACCACGGTGATGCATCCAAATCACCTGGGCTGTTTTTTTCAAAATTCATACACCAAGGTCCTTCCTCCCGAAATTCTGAATCAGTCTATTTAGAGTAAGAACCAGGCACAAATATTTTCAGAAGGTTCCCCAGGTGATTCTAACTCACAACCTTCCTAAGAACTGGCTTTCAATGCTGTATTCATTTTTGAACAGCACAATTTTAAACGCACGTGGAGAAATCAGAGAAGGTCTAGAGAAGTCAGACATCCAAAACAAACATGAAAGAATGGAAAGAGGCTCTAACAAGGAAAGGCACATGCTGCTGAGCTTGTTTAGACTAGAGAGAAAAGGCTTTGGGATATTACGTTCTTCAAATCTTATTGATTTGTTCAGAAGCGATCCTTAGGAGATCCAGTAAAAGAAACAGGTTTATGTTAAGTGAGAGACATTTGGTTGGTTGGATATAAAGCGCTTTTCCATTGCTTGGTAGTCTATATCTATTGAGATCTCTAAGAACCACAGAAGAGTCATTTGTCCTGAGTCTTCCACAGTGTTTCTAAACACAGGATTAACGATACATTGGCTTCCACTGCCTCCTCCTACTTATGTATGTTAAACAAGATGAAAAATGTAAAACTATGGCAAAAATAAACCTTACAGTTCTTCCAAACCAATGAGAAACAAATGGATAGGAATGCGAGACTTAAGATCTCTAGATCTGCTGCAAAATGAATGCAAGTTAAAATGATATTATTCCTAATTAACAGACTAAACTTGAGAATATTAGGTCAAATTTCTTAAAGTTAAAATCATAACCACTTACCATTTCAGCTAATAATTTATTCTGCTGTTTAACTTCATGGCCTATTTCAATGGAAAGCTATAAAAAAGAAAACATACACATTATTACTCATATAAAGTTATTTAAGTGTTATAAAGTAAAAATAACTCCATTCTAAGCATATATATTTTCTCAAATAAAACTGTATTCCAGAAATATAAAATATACTTTCTTCTTCTGATACTTTTCCCACCTAAATTAATGGAAAATTAATTTAGAATTTCTACTCCTTCCCAACTATGGATACTGTCTCCCTGCTCTTCATTTTGATTTCATCTTAATGTTCAATTCCATCTTTTAATTTTGGTACATACTTCTCTCTGGTTCTCTTATTCTTGTATGCTTTTTCTCTCTTTATATTATTCATACAACAGCATTTATCTGTATGTTTCCTTCTTTACATTTTAAAAGAGGTATACACGTACTCATATTATCAATTCAAATCCAGATATAAGTATTTAATATTTTCCTAATAAAATGTTACATTAGTTTGAATATATGCCTAAATTGATTATTTCTTTAGATTGTAAAAGTATTTTTCCTTTAAAATATGATAATAAATTGGAAAATAAATTTATAAGTTAGTGTCATCCACATCCTGGAGCTATGCAGAAAACAAGTTGAGCCTAAAAGAGATACTATAAGTTATTACGGCTGCTATTCAACCAAAACCTATCTAATATTTTACATGATAAATTCATCAAAGGCTGCCCTCCCAAGATATCTGAATAAACACAACCAACTACTGAAGATCTCGGCAAATCACTGCCAACACTATTCTCAACTTATTTTGTGTGGAAAGCATATGGGGTAATCTTGAGACAAAACCCTACTAGAATTCTATAGACCAGAATATGAGCTTTTACCCCAAATTTAACAATTCAGAGATAATAAAGCAAGTATAAAGCCAGATAGCCCCAATCACCCAACCGCTTTCTACAACTGTCATTCATGCCAAAGAAAAAAATTTCCAGGAAAAACCTTTCATCTAACAAGCAGCCTAAATTATCAACACTGGAGTTTAAAACAATCTTTTAATTCTTAATTCCCTCTAAATGTTATATTTTCTAAATTATTAACATTATATAATATTTCTTAGTTCACAGATCAATTCCTTTTAATTTAGTATGACTTTGAAAACAATACTTTTTTCAGAATATAATGGTTTCCAGGCTGAATACATTTCTATTTTCCAAAAACTAATGAAATATCAATTAATGAGCTTCTAATGAATGCTGTGTAAGTGTATAGCATGTTTATTATAATGCAGAAGCTATCACATACACTGTTAATATCATTTTTAAAAAATTCCTTCATTTAATACATATTAACTCAATACCACTGATAAGGAATTACACTACGTGCTGTGAAGAATATAAAAATAAGTACAAAAATAGAAATCCCCACATTCTGGTAAAGAAATGATACATATGGTGTTATGCTCATAAGGAAAAAAATGTTACTTTTGATGTGGTAATCAGGTAAAAGTTGGAGGAGGGAAGGGGTGCAATGAAGTGGAGGCTTTCAGACTTCAGCCAATCTACAGAGCAAGAGGACGCCTAAGGCAAAGGGACAGCATGATCAAAGACACGGGAGTGGGAAAGTGACAGGATGCTTAGGGCACATAGAGTACTCCAATTTGTCTGGCAGGAAGCATATACACATTCTGGAAGTGTATACACATGCCTGGAAGAGGTAAGGTCTGAAAAGCTGTGGACAATCTTTGAAAGACCTATATGATCAAGCTACAGAGTGTGAACTTTATTTCTTATATCATGGAAGGATGCTGAAGACTTCTGGGAGTGTAGGATGCAATTTAAAAATATTCTTAAAAGATGACTATGGGGGCCGGCCCGTGGCTGAGTGGTTAAGTTCATTAACTCTGCTTTGGCAGCAGGGGGTTTGCCAGTTCAGATCCAGGGTATAGACTTAGGCATCACCAATCAAGCCATGCTGTGGCAGGATCCCACATAGAATAACTAGAATGACTTACAACTAGGATATACAATTATGTACTGGGGCTTTGGGGAGAAAAAAAAGAGAAAGATTGACAACAGATGTTAGCTCAGAGCCAATATTCCTCACCAAAAAAAAAAAAAACGATGACTGTGGTGACAGGATGTAGCTCAGACCAGAAGATGCAAAAAATTAGGAACAGATAGCTTAAGAGGCTTTCCTAATAGTTCACCTAAGAAAATCAGGGGATAGTATTAGAAGTATAAAAATAGAAAGAGAAGCAGTAGAAAGAGAGAAGCGCCAGACTCAGTGACTGACATGGGGTACAAAGACAGAAACACGCAAGACTGAGATTTGTAGCTTAAGAGACTAGAAAAAGAAAAACTCAGGAGAAGAGCTGCCTGGGGTGGAAGATGGACTGCTCTGAGACATTACTACAGACAACATACCGCATTTCAGATTTAACCACAAACATCAGCTGGAGTTTAAAAACATAAGCAAATGCACCATATGTTTTGATTGGCCACATTTTCTAACTATCTACTCAAATCATGTCTAAACTTTGAGTGCACCTTGACCTCACCGAACTACACTATCTGGGTAACTGAATTTCTTAGTATGATGCCAATAAAAGTATATAGTTTCTAAGTACGCAATACATATGTAGACAAACAAACCAATTGAAAAGTATACACTATCTGTCATCTACTTACAGATTTTATAGCAGTTACTTTGCTTCTCAGACTCTCAGTGAGCCTCTCGTTCTCTTCTTCACAGGCACTATACCCGCTATTAGTGTAGCCATAGTTCCCATAGTTGCCAGGAGGTACTCCTTCACCTGCAACGTCAGAGTTACAAGCACAGTTGTAGCAAAAGCAAGCCACTTTTGAAACTCTGATAGGAAAGAACCAAAAAAGACCCCTGGAGGGCGTCGCAGACCACATATGCTTCCAATGAATTTTAAAAATTAATACCAAATAGAGATCACAACAATTCTTTCTAATACCCTCTCTTAAGCAAATATTCAACTCATTTCAATACACATTTATTGATTGTTTATTGATTGCCCACAAGACACTAAAATAGGCACTGCTATACAAGGACATTCAGGACATTCCCTGCTCCACGGAACTACACATGTGAAAAAAGATCTAAAAGCAGTAACAGCAACTACCCATTGAAGAAGCCTGGGTCTGAAGGGAAAGGGAGAAAAAGGAGACTCTAGCAGGAAGGAGCTCATGGCAGAGGGAGGCATCTGCCATGAGCTCTCTGGCATCTTTCCCTTAAACAAAGGAGAGCTGGAAAAACTTATGGAGAACATTAACTAAAAGTTATGAGGGGGATTCATCATCCTTCAACAAATATTTGAGAAACTACCATGTGTCAGATCCATTATCCTTTCTAGGTGCTACTTTCTAGAGCTTATCATCTAGTGAATAGCATTGAGAATACAATAACACAGTCCTGGCCACTGCCTAATATAGTACTTGATATTTATCAGGTAGTCAAACAGGTGGAGTGAGCCTCGGACAATGAACACATATATAAACGTGCTGGGGGTTGGAGAGAGGAAAGCATAGATGAGGGTGTTATTTAACTACAATTTTTTTAAACAATTGATACCATCAATTTTCTCAGTAAAAGAAGAGAAAAGGCTGTTTTTTGAAGAATGGTAATCATTTGGACTAAAGAATAAAGAGAATAATGGAGGAAAGTGCCTAGGACTACATAGGATTACCGGGGGATAAAATAATCTTGGCTGAGGCAGTACAGCGCAGTGGTTTCAGTCCTCCGGGACATGCGATTTTTTTGCAGAAGAGCCCATCAGCCTGAGTTAGCCCATGAGAAGCTGGGTAGTTGGACTGATCAAGAGTTGGGGTTTTATAGCACTGGGGCTGCAGAAGCACAGAGCCCCAAGAGGCTGAGATTGCTTGCCATGAGTGGTTGAAGATACGGATTATGGGGACAAGATAGAACAGGGATTGAAGCTGTTTCAATAGAGGCCTGAGCATACGGAGGAAAGGGATAATACAGAAACTAGAGGTCTCCACACACTCAGAGAGTAAATGGAGCGGCAGTGACAAAAGGGAAGGACAGGAAGTGGCAGACAGCACTGGTACTTGAAGGATGGTGAAGGTGTCAAGACAGCACAAATCTCACTTTCTCTAAAAAGCAAAACTCTCTCCTTCGAGTTCTGATAGTGCTGGCTGTACAAGACACTAATATCACACACTAGACTACACTCCAAGGGCAGAAATTAAATTTGTTTCATTCATGGCTATATATCCCCCACAAACGTGTCCACACACACAGAGTAAGGCACACTCAATAAATACCTCTAACTAAATTATCAACGAAACGAATCTGAATTCACTGATATTCACCTTTGAAGGTGCCTGCCTTTGTCAAGAATGAAATCATAAGCTTCTCTGAAAGCAGACAGTGTCTCATACTTCTACGTCCCGTTCCTAATGAGCGCTTTTTATGCAGCACTTACACAATCTCCAACACCACAAAACCACAAAATGTTAAACAAGTAGGTTCCAAAGGAGAAAGCTGCATTCCCCAAATTTTCCCTCAACTGCTGACACACTATCCATAAAGCTCTCCAAATGTGCTATTATAAAAGTTAACTCAAGTGACTAGGCATACTTTCCCCCATCAAACAATGAAAACAATCATTTAAAAACTGCATTCTCACTAACTAATCAATGATGCTCTGTACAAACTCTAGTAAGGACAAAAATTCTTAGAGAAAAGGAAAATGTCTTCTTATTTTATGTGACTAAGGTTCTGAATTTATAACATTCACCCAATAAGTAATTACCGACTGGTTGAATTCAATCACTTGACAACTTCACTAAGGAGTTCATTTCTAAATTAACGGCTACTCACTTCGTTCCCTTTGTTTTGTTCTTTTGCCTATCTTAATTTTAATTTTAGAGTTCTTCCATACTGCTGTATTTATTAGAAGTGAAATTCTCATTTTATTTATTGCCCAGAAATCTTCCAATGCACATTTCTTCTGTTAACGAGTTAATCTTCCCTCACGCCATCACTCATTCCCAATATAAAAAGAAAAAATCAAAAAGATGCTAGGAGTTGCTATTCCAAACTTAACTACTTCTTTTTGTGTGAATTACTGCTATGAAAAGTTGTAGGAAAGCTGGTGAGTGCCAAAGATCTCAAGTTTAAAATTCCAGGTTAATACACGCTGATACTTAAAAAAAAGCTCTGGTCACATCACCCCAATGTAAATGACAGCAACAGACACTGAAGTATTCACCTTGCCTGTCAACTACAGGGGAGCTTCAAAAAAAAAGATTCTACCCTAGAGATTCTAATTGAATTAGTCTGGGCTGGGGTCCAGGTATTAATACCCTAAAAGCTCTCCAGGTGATTCTAATGTACAGTCAGTGCTGAGAACCACCACTTCTCAAGGCCCTTTCCCATAACGCTGCTGCACAAAAACATTCAAAGGGCCTATTGATGAGATCCAAACTCCCTCGCCTGGGACCCAAAGATCTCACAGCATGGTTCTGGTTCCATGTCTCTTACTTCAATCAAACCTACTTAATCATAAGCCCTTAAACACATCATTCATAATTCTAGTCCTACAATCTTTTTGCGGGCGGGGGGGGGGGGTCATCCTTCCAACTTGAACTTACCTCTCCCACCTTCTACTATTCAAGCTCTAGTTCAAGTTCCTATGTCTCCACAAAGTACACAGTGTTCTGCAATCCCTGAGACTTTCACTATCTGTAGAACTTATTTGGCATTTGGATGTAGAGCTACCACCTTGTACTATAATTTATCTTCGTACATGTTCCTGCTTCCCAACTAGACTAGGAAGCTTTGGGGAGCACAAAGCGGGCCACAAACAACTGCAGACCTAGAGCTTACTCAAGCACACAATAAATGTTTGTTGTCATTAATAAAGATAAAAAGGAAAAACATTTAAGCATATAAAACTAAACTCACTCAAGATTTTTTTTCTACAATTTACCTGACCAACTTTCTATGATCCAAGTATTCATAAAAACTACATTTTTCAAAAGTTGTTTCTCACACTACAATTTATTAATCAATGTACAAGTCTAGAGTTACTGGCAACTTTCACTAACTTTAAATATTTGACACTTCTGAAAAACTTTTTTTCTTTTTCCATCTTAAACTGAAAAAGATAACATTATTGTTTTTCAAATATTTCGTATATTTTCTCAGGTATTCTGTATGCTGATTTAGCAGAGTTTTTTTCTTTTTTTAAAATCATCTCTTAATAGAGAGCCTCAGAACCAGAATATGCTGTTTTAATAGTGGTGTATTATAAGGGCCCATTAAAAGTCCTTGTGCGTAATTTATTCCTGCTGCTTGGTGAATCTACTTACTAAGCCAAAAGATCAAGAACAAATCCTAAATCACCAAGCATTACAACATTCTACTGCCTTAACAGTGGCATAAGGCTCAGACAAGAAATGTACTGGGTAAAATGACCTTTGACCTCGATGTTACATACCACAGTAAGAACACGTACATTTACCTTTGTAACTCACTGTCACCAGACTAACAGGATTATCGTTAGTGTGCTTCACTTGCAACACTCCCTTTTCAAATTTCGCTTCTGAAGAAACTAACATCCAAGGCCAGGAGACAAAGAGAACCGAAACTGGACTTCGGGGAACTCAGCAGTTTCCATATCACGGTTAGAGTCAATGACACTAAAAAAACTCTACCATTGAGTTAGCATCTGTACATACCCCACCCCCAGTCCTCCACCACTCTCTCTAAACCTACCATCCAAACTTGGGAATGAACCAAACTTAAGGAAACCCCTAGGATCTGGGAAAAATGGTGTGTTTCCACTTGGCAACGCCTCCAAAGACCCCTCCATACACCCGGCTTTCTGCCCCAGATTCCAGTGAACCAAGTCCGGTCCGATTTCCTCCCGCGCCCCAGCGCCCAGCAAGGCCGGTTCTAGGGCCCCCGACCTTCGAATCTCATCCCTCTTCTTACCCAGGCCTGCACGCCTCATCCTGCCAGAAGAGGGAGGGAAAAGGCGGGTGGAGGGATGGGTAGGAAGGGGCCAGGGGCCACCCGGACCACGTCTTCAGGACCAGGGCCCGGCAAAACACCAACTTCTTCCCCTAAAGCGCCACGACATCAGTGGAGTCTAAACATCGCGCCGACTGATGGCGTCACCCAGGCGCTTACTGGCGCCCTGTAAGGCGGCTTGAGTGGCATTCTGGGATATGTAGTTCGCTGCCGATGCAGGGCGTGGGCAGGGGCGTGGCGTCAACCTAGCTCTCCAGGAGCGGGCGGGGCTTCCGGAAGAGTGGTGAGCGCAATGGGGACCTGGGCTCGGGCGCTCGGTCCGATCTCAGCTGCTGGGCACGCTGCCCCTGGACCTTTCTCTCAGCTTGTCGTCTCAGGTTTAACTCAGTAGATCTACTCTTCCCAGACCATGAGGATGATTAAGCTATCTTTCCTGATTCCGCCTCTCACTTTCGTCTCACTCCCAGAGTCAGTTCAGGGCAAGTCAAAGAAAACTTTACTCAAGTTTCTGATCTCACACATGAGTGATCTGAGACCCACAGAAGGGAAGGAAGAGGGGAACCGATTTGTGCCAGCTCGCTCAGGTCCTTTAGAGTAGGACTCCTGCTCGGATTAAGCAGTCAATGAAAGGGATGGGATCTCTTCGGAGGCACTAAAGAGTTAGTTCCCTCTTACTGGATTGGTTGGTTGCATTTCTAGGAAGAACTAAGGCTTATTAGTTGTTAAGGGACAGAAGGGCCCTTAAACTCTCTCCCACTTAGCCCTTTTCAGTTTACACAAAGCTTAACTGAAATACTATTTACACATGGCAATGTGTCAATTTTAGGGTTTAAAAGCTTGTTGGCAGGGGGAAAGTGGTACTGGAATCCGGGTTATTCCCAGAATTTCATTTTATCACAGATGGTTTATCATGAGAATTAAAGAAATAACGGTTTAAAAAAATCAGATATACAGTAGATGCTGAAACACTGGGAGTTTGCGGTTTTGTCGTTGCTGCTGTATGACAGTGGAATAACTCCATACTAGAGATTTCTTAAAACGCAGTCTCTGATCATTGTGTTCCCTCATCGTTTCCTAATATGAACGTTGACTATAGTAGTGGCAGATAAGTCTGCCTTAAAGTTGTTTTTGTAAAATACACACGAAAACAACTTTTAATTAAATTTGTTAACCTGGGAAATAAGCTTAATCCAATAGCATTTTGAGAGAAAAACAGTCTCGTAAAAATGAAACCATCCTTCTCTAAAAGCAATGGAATTAAATGAAGATTGCATCAGGGACAATTTTTGCAAACAAGCACAGAAGGTTCAATAAGAGAAATGATGGTAAGGCTTCCCTTTTAATTTACAATCTGTGACAGTCCCTTCTTTTGTAAAAAGTACACACATTCTATAATCAAAACATAGAAAAATAATCTTAAGAAAGACTTTCTCATATAAATGTAATTAAAAAAAAATTCTAATGATAAATTTACCAAAACAGGCCATTTAAATTACATACGTACTTATCCTCTTCCAAACTACTTCGCTTAGGGGCCCGCCCCGTGGCTGAGTGGTTAAGTTGGCGTGCTCCACGGCGGGTGGCCCAGGGTTTCTGGGTTCGAATCCTGAGCACGGACATGCCACCGCTCATTGAACCATGCTGGGGCAGTGTCCCACATGCCACAACTAGAAGGACCCACAACTGGGAATACACAACTATGTACCTGGGGGCTTTGGGGAGAAAAAGGAAAAAAAAATAAAAATCTAAACTACTTCCCTTACATGGTAGGGAGATAGAAGAATAAAATATAGTTAAAAGGAAAAAATAAAGTAATAAAGTGTACCAAGAATATAACTCAACAGGCAAAACTGGTTTATATTGAGCTTGTGACCTAAAAACCCAAATAGTTGTTTATTGCTACTGTTGCCAGTCTCAAATTAGGATGATCTCATCTGAGAAGATTTCCATTCAAAATATGAGGTGGAAAAAAATGGTTTTAATACACAGAATAATTATTAAACGTGACCACAGTTGACGTAGAGACTAGAGAGATTTCTTTTCATGTTTGTTATTTTCTATTTTTCTTTTCGTTTAAAAATTAAAACCCCTGAGGATGGCCAGGTGGCACAGCAGTTAAGTGCGCATGTTCCGATTTGACGGCCCGGGTTCGCTGGTTCGGATCCCAGGTGTGGACATGGCACCACTTGTCAAGCCATGGTGTGGTGGGCGTCCCACATATAAAGTGGAGGAAGATGGGAACGGATGTGAGCTCAGGGCCAGTCCTCCTTGGCAAAAAGAGGAGGATTGGCAGCAGTTAGCTCAGGGCTAATCTTCCTCAAAAAAAAAAATTAATTAAATTAAAATCCCTAACTCTTCTTACTGATTGAAGACCAGTAAAATTCTTGTAGATGAATAACAGAATTTTTCTCTATTTTCATAGGATAATCTCCTAGAAAACATCTAATCTTTGGGAGTCTCCAGGAAATGAACGACCAAAAACGACCTAAAATAAGTATTCCTTGTAGTAATTACAGAAGCAAGAATATGAGCAGGAAATGTCTGAATCTGGATGCAAAATTTGAAACTTTCTTTTTCCTGTTTGTCTGCTTCCTGCCCATTAATCCTGCCTCTTCCTGACCAAATTCTAGGGCCAATCCAAGGGAAAACAGCACACCAAGCTCTTAAAACTGGCTAAATAAACGTTAGCAAATTTTCCTATCATGAAACACATTCCGTGTATTAAGCTTCGTGTTTGAACTTTAAGAAAATGTAAACTAAAATCAAATAGCTCTTGACTTACAAACAGGCTATGGAACGAAAGTTAGTTTGTAAGTAAGTTATTTGGCACTTATAACACCTTTCTCCTAAAGAGTGAAATGATGGTAAAGTTCCCAACGCAGCCCAGAAAAAGCATGGTCGTTGTGGCTCCTGTGGTGGCCAAAGTCTATGTAACCCATAGCACAGCTGAAATACTGTATATTTTCAATGAAAACCAGTAGAAAAAAAATAATTTTGTAATTCTCATGATAAAATGAAGCAATATCATTAAAGAAGAAATAGAATTTTTAGAAGTTATTTGGTTATTCTTGTTTGGGAAAGAACTAGTTTTAAAAGTTCTTGAGAATGCAAAGAAAATTTTCGAGGAGTTTTCAGACTCACCAATTTGATCTTCCCTTACCGTAATTTAGGAGTATTACTAGCACTGACTCAATGCTTCTCAGCCATAATTAGTAAACATGAGGCACGAAATTCCAAATGAAAAGTCTTCAGCAGAGCCAGGCACATGATCTGTGGAACCCAGTGCAAAATGGAAATGCAATACCCCTCCTTCAAAAAGCAGGAAAAAAAGGTGCAGTTAAAGGAACTAAAAGATAAAGCTTTTTTCTCTTGTCATGATCTCCCCCACACCAATTTTTCATGGTATTTTATTTGCTATTTAATTCACTTCTAAGTAAGGAAAAATAAAATTTTAAATAATTAGCATGAATTTTGCACTTTGTCTTCTTAGTATGCAATGACCGTTTTAAATGCAAACCTACGAGCATTTAACTCATATGCAAAATCAACAAAATCTTACAATTTGTATTTCATAGCTCATACAAAAATATGTATTTTGTGGAAACACTGCATAAAACTAACTCACCATTTTATTCCACATCTTAATACACGCCACATCTTGATATTCTACCAACGCTTTACTTTTAGCTTACTGATGACTTAGGAGAGATAGAAAAGAAAAGGAACCATGTGTTGCCCTATTTTTGCTTTCATTCTGTGTCAACATTTTCAATACAACTGGCTAACACAAGGAAATAAGTGGAGTAAGGAAGAATATGATAGGGTTCTGCAGAAGTTTTGGTTCAAGAAGGACATGTGGCCTTTCAGGGCTGTCAGTACTTGAACTTAACTCAGTTACAGACTTAACACACTTACCTTGTACTCACTTTGAGTTTTGCTGAACTCCCATGCATTATGGATCCACTGGAATTCTGTGCTCATGGGGCATCGCAAATGTGACATGTGAATGGGGTGGCAAGAAACAATAAACATGCATACTGCATGTCTCTCCTCTGCTCATATGCGTGCTCCATTGTTCCATTATACTTCATTTACAAAACACAAGTTCAAAGATAAAATTAGGAATTTTAAGGCAATGACCACAGAGCATTAAACCAAGCATGATGCTCTTCTAGCAAGGGGTCCTATGCAAATGCAAAGATTGTACACCCATGAATCTGAAATTTTCCAGGGTAATGCAGCCATAATTGGTACAGCAAGAGGAAGAGAATGAGTGAATATATAGAATACATATATCCACAGGGAGAGATTGATCAAGGTGAAATAATTGAGCAGTGAAATTCACAGGGAAGCAAGAAAATAGAGTATACGTATCATAGCCGGAGAAAGAGGAAAGACGAAGGAAAGAAAGAGGTTGTAAGTTGCACAGTTATCCCAAACCACCCACCAAATTGGTTTCTGTCTCCTGTAAGTGATTAATGAGCCACAGATGAGTGAAATTCTTGTGACTTGGCACGTACAGACAGTAAAAAAATTGCCTCAATAGGGGCGTGATCCCCGCAGACCTGAGTGATGGGGTGCAATTGCAGGGCTGAAGGCTTTTCTTGTGTTTCACTCCAAGATGTTTCAGTCTTCCAGCAATTCTGAAGCATTACTAAGACCTCATTCTGGGAAATGATTCCTTCCTTAATGTCGGTTAATCAGCAGCTTTGATATTTTTTTTCCTGAATATTTGGACCTACAATGGAGATAAATTTCAAAATGGGCACTTTGTATAGCCTGCCCTCTTAGTATTCCAATTTTAGAGACATCTTTGACATTTCTAAAACATCATTTTAAAGATAATAGATTTAATTTCCATTGCTTAGAAAATATGGGTGTTGTACATTTTAAAAGGGTCTGCACTACCTGTCATTCAAGATTAATTTAGTCAAGTTCATAGTCATTTTATTTTAATAGCATTTATTATGCAAGAAGTATATTGAATTATCATATTGATACATTCAAAGTACGAAAGGAAAAATGAAGTACACAACTTAGTGTTATTTGCACAGCACAGTTAGACAGTTTGACAGACATGTTATTATTCCACTCACTGACTTGTTTGTTC